TTACGCTTGGTTTTAAAATGCATCTTGGGTACTCGGATTGCGAATGGACAGCACTAAATACAAGTGTAAACGACCACCAAGACGCATTGTGATCTGATCACTCAAACCACTTGCTGAGGTGGTCTGTGATGCATTTGACCACATATCTTTTGTAGCATAAACGGTAATGCATCCCCAACAAGAAAGTTACAATAACCATGCATGGGGCAGTATTGAAATCTGAACACAAGTGGACAGCTGGACACCAGAGACACAAGACAGACACAGGTGTAAACAGCGATGGTTCTCAGCTGTCTACTTATGATCTGATCACCCAAGACACATTTTGAAACCAAGTGTAAACAGGGCCTTGAATAGTGGCACGGCATAAACTTAAGCTATTTATATTTTTATACTTATTAATAAATCACTATTAACTCTCCTGTAGGCAGTATATTGTAAGGCATTCCTGTGATGAGCGTGAGGGGGGGGGGGGGCTGTAAAAAGGGAGAGGACAGGGATGGGGGTCAGTTTATATATTATGTGATTTTATGTTGCGGATCCTGTGGTAGCCAAATAAATGCTTGGTTAGTTGGACACAAACATGGTCCTTCCATCACCTTCTTAAATGTCCGGCGTCAGACCAAGTCCCTGTAACAAAAATGTCTTAAGTCGCTTTTTAAAAGACTCTACACCAGGGTTCACCAACATGGTGCCCGCGGGCACCAGGATACCCCCAAGGACCACAAGAGTTGCCCACGGATCTGTTCTAAAAACTCAACTCAACAGTGAGCAGCATCTAAAATGTAATAAGTTTAGGAGGGCGTTTCAGACTGGTAGCCCTTCGTATGGCTCAGTACCCGAGAAGCAGCTCTCAGTTTCAAAAAGGTTGGTGAGCCCTGTTCTACACTCGGAACACCTCGAAGGCAGTGGCAATGCATTCCACAAAGTGGGAGCTAAAAAATCCCAAAGCTCAGTCATCAGGAGTTTTCAGGCAGGTATATGGGACAATGAGCAGCTTTTGTTCCCATGACCTTAAAGCACGCACAGGGTGCTGCAGATAGAGTAAACAAAGGCTGTGAAACCAGTCTTCTGTAACAGGCTGACGACTCATTCGTTGTGTGCGGTGTGAGGTACTCTGATGTGTAGGACTAGGCCTAATCTAGGACTATCTAATGTGGGACTATCTAGAACTTAAGTGCTGTAGTTAATTATTAAAGTATGGGAACAAATTAGCCCATGTTATTACTGTCAGTATATTACAAACAGTAATATTCACACAGGACTGAGAAGGGTTCCCCAATTCCAGTTTACAGATCTTCCTGCTCAAACACACCTTATAGGGCTCCAAACTCAGTTCATCGCACCAGCACATGATTTGGTCACATCCTTCTTTTTGATGCAGCATGGTATTAATCTACATATTGATGAATAGTTGTTCTAATTTGCATACCCTGGTTTTTGCATTGATGAAATTCTGACTCAAGACTTGATATACCCCCTTCAATTAGTGAGGGTTATAGGGCTGCGTATCCTTGCGAATGTAACAATTCTTGAATAATAGTTTTATTACAAATAAAGGCACCCCTAACCGCTACCCATTACAGTCTGAGAAACGTGAGATTTCATTGTTATTCAGACAGCTACGTCAGTAAGGCTGAATGCCGAGATAAAAATGCGCGGCTTAACCAAGCAAAGACATTTACTGTTAAAGATGTAGTATGCACTTATACTAATATTTATATATTATATGATTTTTATGTGACCCAAATCATTTTCAGCATTGATTTTGGCTTATGCGTCGTCTGCGTGTCTGCTATGTTTCGGCAACCAATTCGCCAAAGACCGAACCCGAAAACGTAAAACGCGCGAACGTGAAGGAGGTGAATTACTGTTCTCGCAAAATATTTTAATCTGAACATTAGCTTTAATAACCTAACTCTCATTCCATGGGAAAAAAAATCTTTTATTAGTACAAGGCTAACTCATGTTGGATGTGTGAATTTCGTGTCGCTACATTGTACTTGCAGAGATCTGTAATGAAAATGTTACTAGTAAAAACTCAATTAAGGATATGTGGACATGGAATTCTTACTAATGAAAATGTATTTACAAATATCTACAATAGGAATTCTTACTAATAAGAATTGAATTATAGAGCTCTACAATATGAGTTTTTACTAGTAAAAAAATGAATTTATGGATACTTGATGCAAAAATAAAATGGAAGGCAATGGAATATACACTATATTGCTAAAAGTATTGACCGCCTCCAAATCATTAAATTCAGGTGTTCCAATCACTTCCATAGCCAAATGTATATAAAATCAAGCATCTAGGCATGCAGACTGCTTCTACAAACATTTGCAAAAGAATGGGTCACTCTCAGGAGCTCAATGAATTCAAGCGTGGTACCATGATAGGATGCCATCTGTACAATAAGTCCATTCATGAAATTTCCTCACTACTAAATATTCCACAGTCAACTGTTAGTGGTATTATAACAAAGTGGAAACAATTGGGAGCAATAGCAACATGTAAAATCACAGAAGCGGGGACAACTCATGCTGAGGCACACAGTGTGCAGAAGTCGCCAACTGTCTGCAGAGTCAATAGCTACAGACCTCCAAACTTCATGTGGCCTTCAGATTAGCTCTAGAACAGTGTGTAGAGAACTGCATGGAATGGGTTTCCATGGCCGCGCAGCTGCATCCAAGCTTTACATCACCAAGTGCAATGCACAGCATCGGATGCAGTGGTGTAAAGAAATGCCACTGGATTCTAGAGCAGTGGAGATGTGTTCTCTGGGGTGATGAAATATGCTTCACTGTCAGCCAAATCAATGGACAAGTCTGGGTTTGGCAGTTGCCAGGGGAACGGTATTTGCCTGACTGCACTGGGGTTGTTTTTCAGGGGTTGGGCTTGGCCCCTTACTTCCAGTGAAAGGAACTCTTAATGCTGCACCATTCTAAACCATTTTGGACAATTTCATGCTCCCAACTTTGTGGGTACAGTTTTGGGATGGCCCCTTCCTGTTCCAACATTACTGCACACCTGTGCACAAAGCAAGGTCCATAAGGACATGGATGAGGGAATCTGGTGTGGAGGAGCTTGACTGGCCTGACCTCAACCCAATAGAACACCTTTGAGATGAGTGGAGACTGCGAGCCAGGCCTTCTTGTCCAACATCAGTGCCTGACCTCACAAATGCTCTCCTGGAAGAATAGTCAAAAATTCCAATAAATGTAAAGGTAGGTGTCCCAATACTTTTGGCAATATAGTGCATGACTAGTAAAAATTATCAGTTTTATACTAGTAAGAATTGCATTGTAGATTTCTTGATTTCATATTCTTATTAGTAAAACTTGAGTTTTTACTAGTAAGAATATTATTTTAATAATAAAAATTAAGTTATGACGAGTAAGCCTTATACAAATAAAAGACAATTTCGCTTGCCATACTCATTCACCACTTGTGTCTGTCTCTCTTTTGCTCTTTCTCTCCACCAGCCTCCTCCTCCTTTTGTTTTTTGTAATACTCAGCTACAGACGGTTTCTTGCGTTTTCCCATCATTGCGCGTATATGTACATACTCTCGAGTGCAGGGAAGGGGAGACCAGGGAATAAGAAAAAAACTTTCAATCACAATTCCGCGCAGGACCAAAACATCCTAATGATTATCATACACAGGCACAGATGCGACCAAGTCAAATTTAAAATCGCTCGCTCTTAATAAAAGGTCCCACATACGACCATTTTGGTCTCAGTCAAGACCCTTGCTTTATTCAGCTCACCAGTTAATTGCCAGAAGCAGTAGGTGTGTTTGAGCAGGGAAATCTCGCTGATGTCTCGCCCCTGGCCCTCCAGGACCGTAACCCTGGCATAGAGGATACCATACCCTGATGTTTCGCGATCCTTATAGCACTGGGCTAATTCCATGAACGCCTCTCATACTGCGGTATAGAGCTCATGCGCCCAGGCAGGTGAGTTCCGCGTTGCCGGGTGGAGCGAGGCGGGGCGGTATTTTAACATTCACGCCTGAAGGAAACTCCGGAGGCGACTGTACATATGTAACGAGGATATGTGTGAAGATGATGGTAGTTCAGCTGCGGAAAAACTGATATTTCAGTGGTCAGTAAGACACGGTGTTTAAAGGCGCGATGCCGGTCGACCGCGGACAACACATGCGGCGCGTTTGCTGGGGAGTCTTTATCGGTATACTGTTTGCAGGTAAAAAAAAAAAAAGTGACCGTATTTTCTTTATTGCAGCTCTAAAGAATCGTCTGCTTTTCAGGATGAAACAACCATTAATACCTAGATATATCAAACAGGCTAAATGAGTGGACCCATCGGGCTCCTGATTGTCGGTCTTCCAATATTCTTTATTCGTGGAGATCTGATATTTTGTGAGCTCGTCACTGATTAATTTGTGGGTGTAACTTTTTTTTGACCTGTTAAACATTATTACAATTGCCAATTATTACAATTGGCAGTGAATGAAAGTTACATTTTCTAGTATCTAATGAATGAATTATCAACCCCCACAGGTTCTGCAAATTGCGACCCCAGTCTCACAGTCCAGAGCCCCCCTACGGTCATTACCACTGCGGGTAGCAATCCGATTCTGAGCGTGTCCTTCGCTGGAGTCCAGAATCCCTTAATAGAGTGGTCTGCGGGCGCATTTCCTATCGTGACCTGGGTTGTGAGCCCCAGTCCCCCAGACATCGCCCCTAATTACGCGAACGTCGTGTCGCTGATGCCCAATGGCTCGCTTGTCTTCAGCAACGTGCAGCAAAACTACAGTGCCACTTACACAGTGATCATCACGAAGACTGGTTTTTTACCGAAGACCGCTAGTATCACTCTGCAAGTACTTGGTAAGTACGCCGGGGTTAGCCGATCGGTTATTTGATTTTTGATTCTTCTGTATATATGTGAGCAAAATAGTTGTGCCTTACATATGCGATATGTCTACTGCTGTCGTTGCCTCTAAATGTCAAAGCCGTTTGCATCTAGTAATTACGAAGAATCGCTGTCTGTCTGAATTAAGAGGTTTGCGAGAACAAGAGGCTGAAAAGCAGTGGCGGGTTTTTTAAAAATCACATAGGGTGGCAAGAAGGAGTCAAGAGATCTTGGCAAGGTGGCATTGGAGAGCGTTTTGTGGGAGTTATATAGAAATACAATTGTACTTCCATGGATAAATGTACTCAAGAAAAGATCCACAAATATATTTGTACAATATTTATTTTTACATTATGTTAATTGACACTTCCCCAAGTTTCTTAATAATCGACAACTGGAACAGAGCAGCGTTCGTGCTGCCCCCTGCTGTCCCCCTGCAGGTCCGCTCCTGCTGAAAAGCTGCAGGTTATGACGCCTTGAGCGTCAGTCTCCAGCTGCTCACGGTAACAGGCGAACTGCTGCTTTAACTCGTTTTAGTCACATATTACTGATGGAAACGACGTGACACCGCGGAATCCGAACTGCATGGAAACTGGTCAATGAATACCCATCGTTAAAGACGGATTCCAGTATTCGATTTTCGAATTTTTCCACCTGTAACGTGTGTGGTTGTGTGTGTATACATAAAACTGCATATATAAGTTAAATAAGTAAATAAGGCAGATGAGAGTAATGGCACAGAATGTAGGTAGGGAATGATATAGCGGGACTGAAAATGGGTGCTTCTTGGCAAAAGGATAAAACTGAATACTTGCCATTCAAAACAGACATCCATCTTCCAAACAGCTTATTCTGGTTGTGGGGGAAGTTGGACTGGAGCCTGTGTATACTGGTGTATACTGCGGGCGTCATGCCAGCGCTGTCGTCATGCTGTTACGCCGTGTTTTGTAAGGCGATACTTTTGTTCGTTACACCTTAATCAACACGAAAGTATTTAAACTAGATGATGCGACAAGTGAAGTTTGTAAGACTCCGTCAGCTGTAGAATGGTTATCGAAGAGCTTGTCTTGTTCTAACTGCGGTTATGGGACACAGAGAGGCTTTCTGGGCTCCTTCTGCAGCCTCTCAGATACGGTATTCAGTGTCACTCAAAGTGCTGAAATCTATTTTGCCATATTTTTCCTAGTCTGCTAGGAAGAGAAACAGAAGCAAATACAAGAAGTCTGCCACCACATTAATTGGATCCATTTCATCAGTTCGTTACGCGTCACCTAATCAAATCATAAGTAAATGAGCTGGATAAGAGCAGGATGCTGAAAATTGGAACCTTGATTTCAGTACAGTAGAACCTTGGAACTCGAACGTCTGTAACTCAACCAACTCGGACATCCAAAGGGTCTGTCAAATTTTTTTCGACGACTTGACTTCTCGAAATCTTGGAACTTTACCTGCTGAAACATGCATGGTCGAGAGACACGTTTAACTCTACAAATTCGGACCTCGAACAGGTTGGTCGAGAAAAATCTAAGCACAATTCGACTGAAAACTCAGAATACGAGAAAACAAAACAGACCCGCTAATAATTGTCTGGACTGAGGCACGTCTTCCCTTCCAAACAATAACCCCTTCATCCCTCCTCCTCTCCACAAGCCACTTTCAGCTCATCTCAGTACAGTTAAAGTGCTCATAAATTGTCATTTATTTCATGTTTATTGCTTTTGTATGTGTGCTTTTTCATGTGTATATGACTTTTATATTGATTGTTAATGCTTTTTATCATGATTTTGATAGGTAGATAGGTTTAAATAGGCAATCATTTTGGGCCTGCAATGGATTAAATTCATTTACATTATTTCTAATGGGAAAAGTTGACTTGGACCTCAACCAGCCTTCTGGAACGAATTAAGTTTGTGTTCCCAGGTACCGCTGTATTTCTGAGAGATGTCTTTTTCTTCCTCTACAGCCCAGCCGGTGTGCTCGGTTCAGAGCACAAACACAAATCTGAATTACACCTGTCAGACGCCAGGAGACATCAATTCATTGCTGTCCTTCCAACAACTGAACAATACCTTCTCTACGAATGGGAGCTTAAGCCTTGTAGTTCCAGCAACTGATGCTCTCAATGGAATGCAAATCATTTGCATGGCTAATCAAATGAACATCACGCAAACCTGCAGCGTGACGGCTAGTAAGTGCATTTTTGGCAGGAATGTTAGCATAGAGCAGGGCTGTTCAACTCACGGCCCTCAAGGGCCGAGCCCTTCTGATTTTCCAGCCTTCCTTCACCTGTAAGCCAGGTGTGAAGCCTCTGACCAATCAGAATCAGTAAACTAACTACCTGGGGGAACGGAAAACAAGGCCTGGATTTGGAATCGAGGGCCTGAGTTGAATAGCCCTGGCATAGAGTATACATTATACATCTGTCCATCCCTCTTTCTATTCCTTCCTGTTTTTCTTGGGCACGTGGTTGCAGCCGGGCCTGCAGCATTTTCCGGGCAGCACAGAGGGTACATTAAGTCAGGGTTAAAGCTCCTGTAAATAACCACAATTCCTTGTTTATTCCCCTGACATCATCACTTCCTAAATACCTCCATGTTCTCCTACTTCAGAAGGAAGTCTGTCTAAGCAATGTTCCTATGCAGTATGGAAAAATACGGAATTTAATTTTGTTGTTTTCCATGTCTGGTAAGGAAGTAAGGAATACAGAAAATAACGAATTGGCCTATTATGTATTCTTAAAAAAAATATCTGAATTTACTCCATTAATGTTTTTGATGAAATCACAGATGTGAACTGGTTGTCGGCACCAGAATGTACACGGGGCACAGACTGAAAAGCAATGTCCCAAACCAAGCAGTGGGGGTGCGTATGGGGGTGCACACTCGAAAAATCTCCTGCCAGAAATATTGCCGTAGGCTTCCTTACGATTTGCATCACTCACAATGGGCAAAGGCATGTTTTCACCTGGTCGGCTTGCCAGTCCCGAAAACTGGCTAAGGATCCGAAATGTGAGCATGAAGGATAATTATGAAGTATTTGTAAAGCTTGAACAATTAGCATGCTAGCAGTTATTAGCCACATGGCGGGCAGATGCATTGCCATCTAGACACAGCATCTACTGTACTGAGAGCAGCTACATTTTTCAATCAGTAAATAAGAGTAAGTTTTGTAATATTTGCTTTAGCGAGAAGCACCATGTACCGTGCATCTAAGATCTATTTATATCATAAAATGTTTTTACAGAGATGTCTGGAAAAGTGCAGAATTAAAAAAAAAAATGTGTAGGAATCCGGTCAAAGATGCCGTCGAACCTTTTAGTGATCAGGAACGAGGATTCACACACTGGTATGATTTGATATACGCATTTCCCCAATTTCAGTAAAGTCTTGTATGCTTTTCTGTTCCAGGCCTGGGACTGAGCAGGGCGGCCATCTTGGGCCTTGCTATCGGAATCCCCTGCGGTTTCCTCCTCCTCCTGCTCCTCATCGCTCTCATCATCCTCTGTGTCGTCTGCTGCAGACGGAGACGTGAGCCTTTTTTTAACAAAATGCTTGGGCCTCTCCTTCTTTTTCCTCATAGTGAGAGGTGTTCGTTCTTCTTTGTTTTGCAGGCCAACAGCCTAAGTATCCTGCCCCCAGCTCTAAGAAGGTAACTGATAAATTAGAAGATGAAATGCTTTAATTTCCTTGCTTCACATTTGGCCACAATGGTTACAGTACTATTACTGCCTGAATGATGATGGTATTTATTCAAAAGCAGATCAGAAAAGTACATTGAACAGACTATCAATGCAAGTTATATATTTTACTATGGGGGTGTTTGTGGTTCAGTGGGTTAGGCCTCTGTGTCTGTGATTAGATGGTTGCCAGTTCAAATCCCATCTTCAACAGAATAAGCTCTGTTGGATCCTTGAACTCTCAAAATGCTCCATAAATGACTGACCTTGTGTTCAGACGCAAAATGTCTCTCCCAACTGTATATGTAATTTATAGTTATAAATCAAACTCACAAAAACTTAAAACAAAGGGACTACAAGGGGTTCAACCAAAGGCGGGGGGGTAAAACAAGAACTGAACTGGCAGGAACTAAACAGAAGTATAGGGTAACACCAAAACAGGGTCCAGAAACACATCCAGGGACCATCCAGTAAGAACTGCAAAGCAGCACATACAGTGCCGGACTGAGGAACAAGGCAAGAGCAGGGACATATCTACACAAGTGACGAGGGCGAGGAAAGAAAAACTGAGCAGAATGTCGAACTGAATGCCGAAGACTAAGTATCGGATGAGGATCGGTCACATTTGGCCCCACCTCACGTTCCGCATGGGGCAATATAATAACACGCAAAAGCAAGTCAGATAAGCTATCTGTAATTGGGACAAATCGATATAACTACAAACATTCAGCGGATCCCACAATTACCACGCACAGGCCGCTTAGCAGGTACCCGGACGATGGTGTGGAAACATAGTTTCCCCAGTAATCCTGGCGAAAAGAAGGAAAGAAAGGAAAGGCAAAGAAACCAAGTACCGGTACAAGCCATACGGATATGTAACACTCCCCCCCATAAGCAACTCATTTGCGCAGACAAACAGAACCCAACCAAACTGGTGATAGAGCATCAGCAACCACATTATCTGCAGAGGTGGACATTTCAGGTCCAGAAAGTAAAAATCCAGACCAGGATTTTGGTTTAACCAACCAGTTGAGCATAAAGAGTCATGATCACATAGTACTCAACTGGATGGTTGAAACAAAAACCTGGTCTGGATTTTTACTTTCTGGACCTGAAATGTCCACCTCTGATTATCTGAACCTTTCATATGCCTGATATCAAGATTATATATCTGGGCAAATAAGGACCAACCCATCAGCTTTTGGTTTTGATTGTACAATTGGGAGAGAAAAACAATTGGGTTATGGTCAAGTCACGGATTAGCGCCAATACATACCTCAAACTGTTGTAGCAGTAGTTAAGCTATTTGGTGGAAACTTCGGTAGATCCCAGCCATTCCAAGGAAATGCTGTAATTCTCTATGAGCGGAAGGCACTTGGAATGTAGTAACGGCCACCACCTTGGTGTCTACAGGACACCTCTGGCCGTGTCCGACCTGTCATCTCAAACATGTGACAGTGGCTTTAGCAAACTCACATTTAGCCAAGTTGAGTGTAAGGAACGCTTCACTTAAACGCTCAAACACTTCCTTCAGTGCGTCCATGTGGCTAGCCCAGGTAGGCAAATAAATAACATCGTCCAAATATCCAGAGGAGTTGGAAACATTGGACAATGTTCACTAGCCTCTGAGGCGTGGCTGGGGCATTTCAGAGCCCAAAAGGCATAACTGTGAACTGTAGCAACCAATCAGGTGTAACAAAAGCAGAGAGCTCAGAGGTACATAGAGGTACATAACACCCACATAGAGGTACATAACACCCACACAATCTGCTCACTGGAGGGATTCAAAATGGGTCTCCTGTCAAAAACCTCAAGGTATCTCTGGGTGGAAATGCCCCTTTTTCTCAGCCTTGTTGGATGCCTCCCTGTGGGTGGTACAGCTCTCAATCCTGTGCTAACCATTCTCCTTTCTCTCCCAGGAAACATCTGAGCGACATTTACCCCTCCCCTCCACAGGGACGAATTCCCCGGTCCGGATGGCGACAACAGTTTAAAGAAGAAAAACTGTACTATGTTGCACTGCTATTTTGATGTTTTTATATTAAGAGATTATATTTAATATTATGGTGTTTTGTTCTTTCTATGGTAATTACTTATATTCTTGTATGTAAAAAAATAAACACCTCAGCATATTTAAGTACAAGTTAAGCATGATTTCATTTGTAAGAAGCTCCCAAATAAACCCACAGGAAAACATCCAAACTAACTCCAAGTATCGGCACTCCCTTCCTGATGGTGTGTAACTCTAGATATCTATTGTTCAAACGTGCCATGTTTTCCAGAACATTCATTCTTGCAGTCTACCAAAAGTGACCTAAAGTTGCTTTAATGTGACACTTGGGGCCAGTTTACGCTTGGTTTTAAAATGCATCTTGGGTACTTGGATTGCGAATGGACAGCACTAAATACAAGTGTAAGCGATCGCCAAGACGCATTGTGATCTGATCACTCAAACCACTTGCTGAGGTGGTCTGTGATGCATTTGACCACATATCTTTTGTAGCATAAACGGTAATGCATCCCCGACAAGAAAGTTACAATAACCATGCATGGGGCAGTATTGAAATCTGAACACAATTTTTCCAATTTTTCTCAATTTCCATTTTTTTTTCCAGGACTGGAACATTGGTTGGCTGTTTTACAGGTTTTCCAGAATGCATGGGAATCCTGCTTGTGGCTACTGTGCCAAAGGAAACCAGAATTCTACTTATCGGGGCAAAAACAGGTAGCGATGCTATATGACGATATACATGGGATGACGAAATAGAAGCATCTACCTTTTCATATTATGCTCTATCAGTTATTTTGCGGTGTCACAAAATGCTGCAATGAAGCGACCTGCCTTGGTTGTAGCCAAGCGTAATACATGGCAGGAAACAATGGGAATAGGAGGTGATTGTGACACCCGTACCACTCAGATTGACAATACATTGGCACTGCCCACTGTGCCCATTGCCCCTCTTACTCCTAACACACACGGTGGGCACACACACACACACACACACACACATACACACACACACACATGCAATACGTACAATGATTAACATTGAACGCTACACATAACATTACTATACAGCACAAGATATTACAATACATGGCAATCATGAAGAAATACACTGTTGCCCATAAAGTTGGAATAATTTTGTTTTCAGACACATTCCTCTTTTTATTTCTATTTATACACATCAGTAATCACCTTTGACCAGGTGCAATGATCACATATCAAGTCCCAGTTACCCAGGTGAAGCGAAATCATGCTTAACAATTGGTTGGCGCTATAAAAGGCAAGATATTCACGGTGTTGTCCTTTTCCGGCATGAGGTCTGTATGGAGTAAGTCCACGTTTTCAGAATTGGCTGTATAATTTTCAACCAAATTTGACACAGAAGTTCTCTAGACTATGCCTCATCCGACGCCGCTGGCATTATGCCAAAGAGTGCTTGCACTCCGACAGGACGGATACAAAAATGCCAACATTCCTGATTTCCTTGGAATATTGCAGAGTGCGTTCTGTAAAATCCTTAAACATCATCGAGAGGAGGGTCTTTTAAGACCACGAAAATCTCCAGTAGGACCACAACTAACTACCAGACGAGGTGATCAGCGACTGCTTAATCTGTGCCACAGAAATTGGGAAATGTCAGTATGGCCACCTTTGTCGTTTATGGAGAAGACTCCATGGAATCAACGTTTCCCGCCAAACGGTAAATCGAAGATTGCTTCAGCATGGTTACCGAGCAAGACGAATGACCAAGTGACCACGGCTAACTGTGCAACACAGAGTTGCTTGACTTCGCTGGGCTAGGGAGCCCAGAAGATTACAGCTTGGGCACTGGCAACATGTTATCTTTATGGATGAGAGCCGCTATATCCTTGACCGTATAGATGGAAGACAAAGGGTGACTGCATCCAGGAAACCACTCAAGGAGCCAGTATTCATTATGGAGGAAGAACGCATTTGGTGGTGCTGGAGAACTACACACAAGTCTCCCACACGCAAGAAGGGTCTATGGGAACAACATTAGGCTGCAAGACTACAACACAAGAGCACATGGGGCAGCTGCAGTGAGAGAATTTCTTGATGCAGAGATGCCATGGCCTGCTAGCTCCCCTATCAAGGATGCCTGGGATGTCTTAGGCCGAGCCCTTAATGAAAGGGACAATATTCCTCAGAGTCTTCAGGAATTAGCCTGGGATCTGAACGAAGAATGGGATCCCCTGCCCATTGATGGCATCAACAAGCTTGTGGACGGTATGACACGGCGTCTTAATAATAATAATAATAATAATAATAATAATAATAATAATAAATTTTATTTGTATTGCACTTTATATTTTAGCAATCTCAAGGTGCTACAGAGTAAAAATAAGGAAATAAAAATAGGAGAATCTATACATTTTTTTAAGAAAATGTCTTTCTAAAAAGTTGTGTTTTTAGGTTTTGTTTAAAAGCATCAGTCGACTGTGGGGCTCTCAGGCAGTCAGGGAGGGCGTTCCACAGCCTCGGGCGCCACAGATGAAAACGCCCCACTACCCATGCTGCGGAGCTTGGTTCTGGGGACTTGGAGGGTGTTAGTGTGTACAGAGCGGAGGGTGCGTGAGGAGGTATGGGGGGTGAGGAGTTCCTGTAAGTAAAGGGGAGCATGTCCATAGATGCACTGATGGGTGAGGAGAGAGACCTTGTACTCTATCCTGAGTGGGACAGGGAGCCAGTGAAGGGTTTTCAGGATGGGGGTGATGTGGTGATGTGGTCGTGCTTCCGCACCCTCATCAGGATCCTGCCAGCGCTGTGCGATTCTGCATATTTATGCCGCAGAAATCAGAGTTCTGTCTCTCTTAGTTTTTGAGATTGCTATGATAATACATAATCTTACTTTGCCTGAAAATAGACGTATTTGCTATATTTTGCCACGGAGGCATCAAATATTTCTACATGAGACACGTGTATACACGAGCATAAGTACTATATGGCGATCATGTAATGCCATAAGAGGTAAAACTCAGAAATAATAACAGCACGAACATTTTTAAACGGTACAAACTTGGAACAAAAGATTGAGACCGGTTTGGTCCAAATCAGAGGCACGTTGGTGATGTCCCCACGTAAACAAAACATTTATATCTCAAAAACTAAAGCAGTACAAACGAAAATTAGATGGGACAAACAATTCAGACCAGTTTAGTTAAAAATGTGAAACACAACATCTACAGGCGTTGGACAGTGAAACTGGAACACTGGCCAAAGTGGTGTTTGAGGTTTCACATCTATATATGCGCCACCTAGTGGGCAGTCTTCACTGATTGCACATTCCATCAGTAACAGCAGAGTGTGAAGATTGAATTAGCAGAAAAAGTCATACATATCACAGCTGTATATAAAATATTGTAATCCACACAACATAATAAGAGGCATATCAGACTTTTAAAAAGGACAAATTGTTGGTGCGCGTCTCACTGACGCATATGCGACCAGGACAGCAACCGGGACCGGCTTCACTGAGCTTAACTAGAGACTTTTATTTTAGTCTTTTTCCAGTATGTTGTCACCTGCTGGTCGAGCTGAAAAATGCACCTCATAAATAAATATGAGCGAAGTCAAATGTAACGCGATCCACTAACAGACAGGACGTCATCAACAAAAGTAGCTCCATATTTTTGTGGATGTGATTTTACACATTACATTTTTTTTTTAAATGCATATTTCTAGATAGTGAAATATTTGTGGATCATGGTACGTATTTGTGGATTGTCGTTTGTGTGTTACGAATAATAAAGTCCCCCACGATGCCCAAAGGTTTCATCTCGCTTTTATAAAAGTCTCGAAGAGCCCACAGGATTCAGAATCTCTGACACCTCAGGGCAAATCGGACGTCATTGCTCATGTAATACATAAACGAAGCAAGCTCCGACTCCCAGCTGCAACTCCCTGGGCTTCACCTTGATGAGGTGAGCCCCAAAGTCTCAATATTATATGTCCCATTACTACAAGAAACTATTTGAACTCTTCATATGCATCCTGCTTTCGCTTCATCCATGCCTATAGCTGGCCACACTCACTGTTTGTGCAGCCAGTTCTACAGGATTTTCATGGACAAGCCATTTCAAGAGTGTGGGAAAGCCTATTAGTTACATCAGGGAATAAACCAATTTCTTATCTCCGATTGGTTCAAGCACTGCTTGCAATCTGTGATCCTGAATGTAACCTGCCTCGGAGCAGGTTAGGCGGGTAGTGTGAGTTACCATGCAAATGTACCCCAGTAAGAATTAAACCACTGTCATGATATCGGGAACCCAGATTTACCTCTAACTAATCTTAAAGTTTTCCAGATGAGCAACAAATCCTGCTTCATGATACAGGCCTCTGAGGTCCAGATGTAAAAAATGAGTCTTGGAAAAGAACCACTTGTCAAATAATATGACAAGAAGTGGTGTGTGTTCACTAGGTTTTTTATGTCTGTAGTGATTATGTGAGTGAATTTATTTATTCTGCATGTATGTGCAGGTCAATTATTGAAACAAATAGTGACATCATAAGATTTTTTTTTTATTATGATTATTATTGATTTGTTGATTTCACAATGGCAATGATTTCATGTACTGTAGAATCTCCCTCTGATATCATCGTTCATCTCCAAAGTGCTGAACACCTTCACCAGTGGGTAAATTTGAAGATGATGTGGTCATTTGGATTTGGGATGTAGCAGCCAACTCCTGGACAAAGGGGCACAACACAATAATTAGTGGTTGGATAGTTTTGCAATTTGAATCCTAGTAGTTTTTAGTTGATCATATATTCTTTTGTTTACCAATACATTGTTTACCCTTGTGAACCACACCTGTAATTCCACATTTTCATCAAAATTAGATTTGTCATTATATGATGTGATATTATCCTCAGATTCACAAATTGGCAAATTGCTTTTGACTTGTAAGTTTAGAATCAATCTAAGTCGGACTACCAAGTAACTTTCCATGAGTTTACCAATGACTATTCAGCAGTTGAGCGAGAGAGATCAGGCTTTGTTTTTCCACTCCGACTTACCCACATCTGGTACAGTGACATTTCCATTTCCTTTGTCAACAAGTAATTCCCAGTAGGTATGCTTGGTATCATTGCCTGATACACCATTGATGGTCGTCAGGAATGGGCCATAATCATTATTCTCTGTGACTGTGAACCTGTGGAGACACAGGGGTGAGCTTCAACCCAAAATCTAAATATTTCTTTTCAGATGTTAGAGTTCCGTATCAAGGAACCATTTTGTCCTCACCTGAAACCCTTGTTATTCATGCTCAGCCGTCTCATGGCACCCAGCAATATCCCCCTGTAGGCGGTGGTGGTGGTGAAAGTTTTATTCGGGGCATTCGTGATGCTGTTGTACACAGTCATGGTGATTGTTGATGGTTCAGTGGTACCTGTGAAAATTCAACACAAACGATACTGGTTAAGCTGACACCAAATTACATGATTTTTATTGTCGTCAGATCGCTGCACTGTTCACACTGCATGCTTTCATCCTTGTAGTTTCATTCATGCTGTTTAAATCACTCCTAAACGGGTTTGTGGGAAATGTATGAACCCCTTTTTGCTTTATAAATGCCCCAATATTTTTACAACAAAATCATATGGCTGAGACAGCAAGGTAGGCCTACATACATGTTGTCCTAGTATATTAAACAAAAACCCTTTCAAATTTCTTGTCATGCCATTCTGAACTTTTGGTTGTATCTGTCCTTCCAACCAGATTGCAATTATTATTATTTTTTTACTTTGTTTGACATTGTTCTCTGAGTTCATATAACTATATATTTTCATTTGTGTTTTGTTTAAGAGGCAGCCTATTTGTATAACCACTTGACAACGAAAGTTTCCCACTCAAAACAGCTCTCTCACTATATCTGCATAATCCTCCGGCCATGGTGTCAAAACTATTTGTTTTTGCAGTTTTTACCTTTTTCCTCGAGTAATTAACTTATCACTTCTGAGGGTCACGCGCCACACGTGAGACGAAAAAGACAAACTATAATTATAGTTGTACATTTTCCCATTTTTGATTTGAGCACATTTTTTATTTGAAATCGGAAAACAATTAAGTTGTCCTTCTCATTTTAGTCTTTATAAACAAATATGGAAAAAACTATACTGTTTTTGACTTCCGGTTTTGTTTAAAACTGAATGAACGAATCATACACGGATTCTGCCAAAGCAGGATTCATGTGTGCTGGACTATTAAGCCTAGGCAGGAAGGTGAGCCGAAAGCCAGCTCATTAACAGCTTGTCCCTTACGGAAAAAGCTAAATCAATGTGGTAAACCTAAAAGCAATTCGGGAAATTATATAAGGACAATACGATAAAAGCAATACGGTAAAAGTAAATGCAATATGATATAAAATTAAAAGCAATACGGCAAAAGCAAAAGCGATAAAGCAAAAACAATAAAGAAAATCATAAATTTTATTATTTTATTTTACATTTCTTTTTGCTTATTTAATTTTTATTCTTAATCTATTTCACTTTCTTATTCAAGATTTATTTCCTTACTGTTTTACTTTTATTCTTTTTTTATGGCACTCGATCCTATGACTCGATCCATACTCACGATCGAGTTATGGGCCGGAGGAATAATTGACGCGATCTTATGAAATCAACATTTGCAAAATATGAAGGAGGATAGGAGAGTGGGTATTTCTGAGTTCCAAAACACGTAGCCATGGGTGTTGTGTCTAATTTCCACGTTTATTCGCTTTCATTTTTATTAGATTTCACTGACTTATTTAAAGTGATCTCTTTACATATTTATATTGTAGGTAAAGGCAAATTTAAAAGAAATAGGTAATTGTTGAAAACAACACGATAGTTCTGCTTCGTAGTTCCGTTATCTTACTTTCTGATACTCAAATTCAGACACTTACGCAACTGTTACCGAATCGCTTGATGCAGCCAATTTTGTGATGCATCATATTGTGTAAGAATAATTAAGAACAATTAAGAGTCGGGCTGCCACCCGTCCCGTATAATGTGGTTGTCTAGACACGGTAAACATATGTCTGTTTAAAGACTCACACAGCACGTTTTGCCTAAAAAATAATGGTATATTAATGCTTTTTCAGAAGCTACTGTAGGATCACAAAAACATTAATTTCCAACAACACGTGAAGCAGCACCTCTATAGTCAAAGAATTTAATGGCCACAGAATTTGGTATAAACAATTGCATTGAAATTACACCATGTAAAAAACAAATGCATAGCTTATGGTGCATGTGCACTTACCAACTTTATATTTTATTTGTTTGTTGAAGCTCCAGCATGTCATTTGTCAATTTTTTTGTCTAACCAATTTTTAAAAAATAAATCTAGATGTGTCGAAGTATATATTTTGAATTATTTATTTTGACATTGATTTGTAATAAAATTTAGTTTTGACTTGATTACTCGCACACACAACCATGTGTTTAAATACACGTATTATATTTAGGTCCTATTTATCATATATTTTATTCACTCTCTAACCCCTCAGTTTCACTGCACTCGATCTTCTCTTACTGTAGCCTGATTTATCTGCAATAAGCATCGATCGGTAAATTCGTTGACTTTTCGTTGCTTGTAAACAGCGTACAATGTACACTAAACCCCATTTAGCTGCATACAAGTAAGCAAAATAACATTTGCCAGGTAGCGAAAGTCCTGTACGTCTTGTCCTCCATCTGAAAACTAAGGGAAAACATTCTTAATTCCTGTGATAAATAACTTGCTGTATTTTGTCCACAGAGAGACACTCATAATTATATAACATTTCGTCCACAAAAGCATAAAGGTGTCACTTTCTTTCGTGCACAAAAATCAAAAAGAATGTTTCATTTTGTGCACAGAATTGACAGCAGCACCTTGCATTTGATGGACAGGAGAAAGTCGTTTCAGCCACAAAATGCATTTCATAAACTAAATGTAATAGTGATAGTGAATCATTTTGTAGAGGAAATATACGTCATGAATGATACACAGTCATTTTGAAAATTGAAAATAAAAGAAAAAAAGATCCGCTTAGTGAGGGTGGAAGGCTAAATCGGAAGAAAATGGTTGCATTTCTAAACGAAAACGCATTAGTGCGGATGTAGCATTTGTCACACACCCTCCCAAGTTGTGAAATGTAACAGAATGTAAAATAATTCTCACCTGCACGTGTGTCACTTGTTAGGACACATAGGACCAGAAATAGGGAGGCTATGGAGACCAGAGTCCTCACTGCCAAAGCCATTCTGTCTGCTGGGTCAGTCTGAAGCTTCCTGCAGTCACCTGTCCTCAATTTATACCATCACAGTGACCGCGCCTACTGGATGAACGTCTCTCTGTTGGGAGTTAACTAAGGTACAAGGTGTTATGGAATTTATTTTTACGCACGGAAGTATTGAGTTATAATCATTGTGCAAAGTAAATTTAACGTGAGGTTTTACACAATAGTGATCTCTATGTTGTTTTGATAAAAAAAAAACAGCAATGTACCAGAACAAAGAAAATATTCTTTTCAAGCATTATTGGCCTCGAAAGAAAAGGTATGGGAAGTAGATAATATTGTGCAAAATGCAACACACTTGCATGAGTTGGCTTTGTCTCTGAAAGCTGTTGAAGGAAGGTTTGCCCATGACAGTTCTACCTTTAACCGAACCACCTATATCTATATAATTACAGTACAAAGACTATGAAGATGCAAAGGTTAGGACTGGTGCCTATTCATGAAATTCTAAAATTACTAAAAAAGCATTTAGTTGGGTTGCATGCGCACTGGATAATTACCACCACTCAGAGTTGAGAGGCCAATATGTAAGTACTGTATGAGGATGCTTTATTCTTAATGCTGGTAAAATATGTTTATGGGGACCTCTCATTCATTTCTATGGGAAAAAATGCTAATGCTAACTATGACAACCTTAACCCCTACCCAGCCCTGACCATAACCATAAGTAACCAAGCAAAAATGGGCAAGTGATAGAATCTGAGCGACTTTGACAAGGGCCAAATTGTGACGTCTAGATGATTGGGTCAGAGCATCTCCAAAATGGCAGGTCTTATGGGGTGTTCCCAGTATGCAGTGGTCAATACCCACCTAAAGTGGTTCAAGGAAGGCCAACTAGTGAACCGGAGATGGGTTCAGGGGCAGCTAAGGCTTACTGATGTGCGTGGGGAGTGAAGGCTAGCCTGTCTAACCCGATCCCACAGGAGAGCTACTGTAGCACAAACTGCTGAAAATGTCATGAACTCGGGTGCGAGGATGAGGCATGGTGCAGGCAGGAAGGGAATGTGGACGACCCACTGGCGGCTCAGAGGACAAACGGGGATTTATTAACAGACAGAAAAACACTAGAAATATTTATAAAACAGAAACAGACCACAAGGGGTCAAAAGTAAAAGGGGAAAAACAAAGACTAACTACAAATGGGGCAGGTAGGTAGGCAAGCAGGTTTAAAAAAAAAAAACAGAACATTCAAACCTAACTGACATCCAACAAACATCAATGACTCCAGGAAGAACAGAACAGGATCAGGAACCTAAATACGAAAACTAAACCGGGTAATGACACAAAAGGAGTGAGACATAGACAATTAACCAATCTGGGAGGGTGTAGGGCAATGAGCAATCAGGTAAACACACAAGGGCAGGCATAAAAACAGGCAACAGCTACAACTAATAATTAAATTCAGGGAACTCGAACTAACAAAGAAACTAAGAAACAGAATCTACACTAGGGGAATAACAGACAGGTAAAAACACAAGCATGGGCACAAAACATGAAACCAAATACAAATCACAAGACACAGGAACAAGAAAACTCATACAAATGAAACATTAGGGAACAAAATACAAAAACAGAGGAGGCAGGATTCAAACACAAGACAGAGGGGTTCATTGGCAACCAGGCCATGCGGCTGACAGGGAGCAGGGGAAAACACAAAGACTGACAACAGGAGGGACGGGATGACCAGCGACGCCTGCTGGCCAAACGGGGAAGGGACCCAGAGTGGGACAACAGGAGCTGACCCTGACAGAAAGTTAATGCTGGCTTTGACAGAAAGGTGTCAAAACACACAATGCATTGAAGCTTGCTGCAAATAGGGCTGTATAGATGCAGACAGGTCAGAGTGCCCATGCTGACCCCTGTCCACTGCCAAAAGTGTATATAATGGGCACATGAGTGTCAGAATTGGACCATGGAGCAATGGAAGAAAGTAGCTTGGTCTCATGAGCTTCATTTTCAGTTACATTATGTGGATGGCGGGGTGCCTGTGCGTCGTTTACCTGGGGAAGCGATTTCACCAGGATGCACTAAGGGAAGAAGAAAAGCCAGCGGAGGCAGTGTGATGCTCTGGGAACTGTTCTGCTGGAAAACTTTGGATCCTGGCATTTATGTGGATTTTACTTTGTTGTGAGTCTCAAATCTCGTACTTCAGTACTTAAACTTGCTGTCCTCTATAATAACTGACATTATAAATACTTCCCTTATTTCCAGTCTTGTACCTTCATCTTTTAAAACCACTACAATAACTCCAATTCTTAAAAAACCTGGTGCAGATCCCATTAATCTAATTAATTATCGTCCTAATTCTAATTTACCTTTTCTCTCAAGAACACCTGAGAAAACTTTTGCAGCCCAGGTTCACTCTCACCTTACTGACAATCACCTGCTTGAAGATTTTCAGTCTGGGTTTTGTCCTTTTCACAGCACAAAATGACCGGCTGACGGCAGCTGATGCGGGGCTGTTAACAGTACTTGATCTGAGCTCAGCTTTTGACACAATCTCTCATAATATCCTCCTAGACAGGTTAGTATCCATTTTCATCACTGGACTCCTCTTGCGTCATTTAAATCATATCTCTGAGATCACACTCATTTTGTTCAATTGAAAAATGTTTGGATCGCAGTCTTGCCCTATTGTTAGTGGAGTTCCCCAGGGCACCGTTTTAGTCCCCCTCCTCTCTATTATTTATCTTTTGCTTCTTGGTCACATTTTCAGGAATTTTGGTATACAGTTCCACTCTTATGCCGATGACACCCAGCTCTATTTGTGCACCAGGCCTAATTATACTCTCTCCAACTGTCTATGTGAAATTAAATCACGGAAGTTCTTCTCATTGGCACTAAATGTCCTCTGGCAAAACTTGCCAGCTTTTCTCTTACTATTGATAATGACGCAGTGTTGCCCTCCCCCCTGGTTAAACGCTTGGGTGTTATCCTCAATAGCTCTCGACTCTTTGGAGCACACGTCCATGGCAAGCCAAATTGCCTTTTATTAGTATAAGGCTTACTCATTATAACGTAATTCTTACTAGCAAAAATAACATTCTTACTAGTAAAAATGCAATTACATTGTAGAGATCTGAAATTACATTTTTACTAGTAAAAACTCAATTATGGGTATGTGGGACTGGAATCTCTACAATATGACTTTTTGATGATTATAGATCTCTACAATGATTATAGATCTCTACAATGATTATAGATCTCTACAATGATTATAGATCTCTACAATGATTATAGATCTCGACAATGATTATAGATCTCTACAATGATTATAGATCTCTACACTGATTATAGATCTCTACAATGATTATATATCTCTACAATATCAATACAATAATACTAGTAAAAACTGAATTCAGGATATGTGAGGCCAAAATACAATGGAAGTCAAGGGGAATATATGACTAGTAAAAATTGAACTATGGAGATCTATAATATGAATTCTCACTAGTAAAGATACAATTCTTACTAGTTAAAATGATCACTCTTGTTAGTAAGAATTGCATTTTTGTTAGTAAGAATTAAGTTATGAGGAGTAAACCTTATACTAATAAAAGACAATTTGGTTTGCCCTAACACGTCAGTAACGTCACTCGGACTGCATGTTTTCATTTGTGTAATATCATTTACATCAGTCACTTACAGCTCCTAGCACTTCTGTTCTTGTACACGGGTTACGTCCCGCATTGATTACTGTAATTCTATCCTCTTTGGCCTCCTCCATAGACTTCAGCTGGTTCTGAATGCAGCTGAACCACGTCATTACCAGAAGCCCTTCAATAGAACATATTACTCCTGTCCTTCAGCAGCTCCACTGGCTACCTGTTACATACCTTATTGATTTCAAGATTCTATTTCTCACCTTCAAGGCACTTGAAGAGAGTGTTCTGTCTCTAATCTAATACACGTCAGCACACCCTCTCGTACTCGTAGATCCTCCTCCTCCATTAAGCTCTGTGTACCTTCTGCTTGTTCGACTATCTGCTTACCTTCATATCCATCTTAAGACACATCTCTTCAAATTGACCCGTTTGATCTAGTACCATGTCCTGCAATTAAATTTATTTCTCATTTATTATTATTATTTATTTAAGTGAATTGGCTCAAATGTGCTGAAAATAGAAATAGTAGTGATAAATTAACAGTAATTCTGTATTTAATGAATTTATAAATGGTCATTAAAAAAGTAAAACATAAAACTCTCCCATGTCATCATCCATCGCATGCTTCACTGTAGACATCATGGTGTGCCAACTAGGTATGTGGTTAATGGTTGTGTTTTATTGTGAGCAAAATAGTTTTTCCTTGAATGTACAATGTTTACCTCTCCTGGAGCCGACACCTTATCGTGGTGGGGGGGTTTGCGTGTTCCAATGATCCCAGGAGCTAAGTTGCCCGGGGCTTTATGCCCCTGGTAGGGTCACCCAAGGCAAACAGGTCCTGGGTGAGGAACCAGACGAAGTGCGGCTCATAAGACCCCTAATGATGCACAAAATAATGGAACCACGGTTTCCCTTGCCTGGACGCGGGTCACCGGGCCCCCCCCCCGGAGCCAGGCCTGGGGGTGGGGCTCAATGGCGAGCGCCTGGTGGCCAGGCCTATACCCATGGGGCCTGGTCGGGCACAGCCCAAACAAGGCATGTGGGTCCCCCCTCCAATGGGCTCACCACCTATAGGAGGGGCCATAGGGGTCGGGTGCGATGTGAGCTGGGCAGTGGCCAAAGGCGGGGACCTTGGCGGTCCGATCCTCGGCTGTAGCTCTAGGGACATGGAATGTCACCTCTCTGATGGGGAAGGAGCCTGAGCTGGTGCGCGAGGTTGTGAAGTTCCGGTTAGGTATAGTCGGGCTCACCTCGACGCACGGCTTGGGCTGTGGAACCAGTCTTCTCTAAGGGGGTTGGACCCTCTTCCACTCTGGAGTTGCCTGCGGGGAGAGGCACCGAGCTGGGGTGGGCATACTTATTGCCCCCTGGCTGGGCACCTGTACATTGGGGTTTACCGCGGTGGACGAGAGGGTAGCCTCCCTTCGCCT